GGGACAGAGCTCACGTGGCCCTGTTCAAAACAACCCACTCCGCACAAGCCCAGAGAACTCTGGTGTTCCCAATCCTGGGCACTGGTGCCATTCCCTGGACCCGCTGCTCCTCCTGCTGGCTGGTCTGAGCATATGTTCCCAGAGAGGGATTTGCTCACTAAGAGATGGGATAGGTGCAGCATTTTCCCTTCCAGCCCCATGGAGACCTTCTGCAGCAAGGCAGGGCCTCCCCTGGCAGCAGCGGGGGTGTGAGGGGTTGAAGACCCTCCAAGGCTGTAGCAATGCGCCCTGCAGGGCTCCTTGTAGCCAGGGAGCCAGAAGTGACAATGCAAATACCATGGAGGCTGCCCATATGACAAGCTGAACACCCAGTGGAACATCCCCTGGTTTCGACCTATCTGAGACACCAGTTTGAGGAGAGGAGAGAGAGGCTGGTGGGCCCAGAAGTGGCTGCTGGGTGCAGGTTCCTGCCTTAAGGCACCTTCCCTTTGGACACCTGCAGCTGCTCCTGAGACCAGTGCAAGCTGTGGGTGCTTCACCATCCTAGCATGTCAGGGCCTCATGTTGGACTCTGGCCACGCATAAACTGGAGGGCACATTGGAGGCAGTGATTCTAAGGGAGCTGGGGCAGAAAACAGACCTCTGCCTGGGTGGCCCTTCACCTAGGCTGGGCTCTTCCCCTGTTGTGCAGCCTTCCAGCAGGGGGCACCTGAACCCCATGGAAAGTTCATGCAGCGGGGAGGAATATTTCCAGGATCAACATTTCCAGGGCTGTTTGGGGCCCACAGGGCTACTGTGTCCTTGGGCCAAGCAAGGCCTATGGAACTAGTGACTGCAGATGCCCATTACAGGTCCTCTGAGAGCAGAGCAGAGCCGAGCAGAGCAGAGCAAGGCCCCTTTCTGCCTGATCTACCACTGCCGGGCTAGCACCGTGGCATGGAAGTGCCTACGGTCACTGGGGCATGTCAGCGCAGGGTCCTGCATTGTTCTGACCTGAAGCAGCTGAACAGAAGGGCATCAAGGACAGGCTTGGGCACTAGCCAGCTGTTTTGTGGTCTGACCCACTGCACTCTCTCTCCACTTGAGGACTTGAAAGGGCTCTGGTGCATTGTGGGATAGTGGTGGAGGAACCATAACAGCTGGTGGTTTTACCCCAGTGGCTCCTTCCTGTCTCCGCTAGCACTGATATCGTGTTGGTTGAGTCATGTTTGACTACACCTGTCTGGTCTGGGTCTGACCCCACTTGCTGCAGGAAACATTTGCTGGGGCAAGGAGACAGCCACTGTTTGGTACCTGGTTTGCTATTCCTGGAGCATGAATGAGCCCTTGCCTCAGAGACACAAATCCCTGGAGATGCTGTAGCCCAGCGGAGGTGGAAAACAGCCAAAATAAACAGGGAAGTAGGCAGGAGGCAGCTTTGGGTGGAGCCAGTCCGGGCCTTGATGCACTGGGGAAGCGTGTGGATTTACCACCCCTCAGTAGTAAAACAGGGCCCAGGGGACTGGACAGGCTGAGAGGGGCAGGCCCAGGAGGGATGGATGGCCCATGGGTTATCCCCAGGGGATGGGAAGCCCTGCAGAGCTGCTGAGGTCAGTGGGGCTGTTCAAGGGGTGAACCAGCACTGGGGCTCTGTGCCTTCCATCAGCAACAAGGAGCAGCAGCAGGCAAGCACTGGGCCTGGCAGCTGGGGACCTGGGGAAACAGAAGCTTGCTGGGCAGTGAACAGCCCAACAGTGCAGTCCCAGCTGGCCTGGGAAGCAGGAGAACATCATTTCGTTGACGCAGCTGACGACATCCTGCTTTGAATTTGCATTTCTGGAAGGCACCTTTGGCCCTTGTGGCAGCTTAGGGAGGGGGCCAGGGAAGGGGTCCTGGGTAAAACCACTGGCTAGAAGCACTGAGCACATTGCAGCCTGCCCTTCCCACGACTTCTTTGCCTTCCCTGGGGACTTCTGGCCCTAGATTCTAGTGGGAGTTTACATTCGGAAATCCAGTCTCAGCTCGCTCCTGGACAGGCTCCACTGGCCACTCAAGGGGCTGGAAGGGACATCCATCCAGGCATCTCCTATGGACTGAGAGCCCTGAGGAAGGTATGGATGCCAGGATGGGTTCCCAGATCACTGCACTGTGCTTGTACAAGTGGCTCTCAACCTTTTAAAATTTGAGGTATTCCTCATTAGACTCAAGGCACCCTTTGGAAAATGCCAGCTCTTAGTTTTCACTTTTTTTTTTACTACAGAAAAATAATAGAGCTATTCTTCTGTTGCAAAAGAACTCAGAAAGACCACAACAGGTCAGAATGTGTTTAACATATTCCTATTTGAAATCTCTGGTTTGATCTCATGAATTGTGTTTGCACATCCAAAAGTACTGACATTGTGTGGTGTCCCGTGCCACCCTTGAAAGAATCTTAACATACCCCAAGGTGCCCCAGCACCCTGGCTGTGAATCACTGGCTTATACCAATGCAGAGAGCAGAGTCTGCTCCATTTGACTGGTTTGGTGAGATCCTGGCTTCAGGACTCTGCAACCTGCTCTATGCTCCCTCGTGCCTCTTACTGGTTCTCTGGAGAGGGTGCAGTCACTTCCTAGGAGCCAGGACAGCTCACCAGCATGTGCCGTTCTTCTGCAATCAGTGCGGTCTGCTGCCCATGACTGTGGCTGGGAGCAGTCCCTGACTTTGGTCCTGTGGGAGGGCAGGGCGGGGCATACACATACCCGCATACTCTTTCCACAGCACTGCAGCTATCTCTTCTGGGGGAATTCCAGCAAGCACCAACAGATGGAAAATCAAGTGAAACAAGGAACAGAAGAAGCCTTTGCTGACAGAAATACATGGGAGCCCCGAAGCCCTAGAGTGCTGGCTCCTGCTGCTGAGCATGATGAAGTTGTGTCAGGGTTGATGGGAGTCTTATGCTGAGTTTAGATTATGGATTGCAGAGGATGGTTTGGATAGGGATGATCCTGCCTCAGGCAGGGGTTTGAACTAAATGACCTCTGGAGGTCCCTTCCAGTCCTACTTCTCTATGATTCTAATGAGGGCACAGCTAACAAAGCATATTTTGATGATTTTTTTGCCTATTTTTGTGCTTTTTATACACCATATATGATATAGCAAATTAACACTGAGCAACTGTGGCATTGATGCCTACACAGTTGGATGGGTCACATATTGGCTGATGGGGCGCACCCAGAGAGTGGTGGTGGATGGGTCGTACTCGACCTGGCGGGATGTGAACAGTGGGGTCCCCCAGGGCTCGGTCCTGGGGCCTACACTGTTCAACATCTTCATCAGCGACTTGGACGAGGAGGTGGAAAACACGTTGTCCAAGTTTGCCAATGACACCAAGATGTGGGGAGAGGTAGGTACGCTCGAAGGGAGAGAGAGACTGCAATTAGACTTAGACAGACTACGGAAGTGGGCGGATGGTAATAGGATGGGGTTAAATGTAGATAAATGCAGGGTGCTGCACCTGGGGAGAAGGAATCCACAGCATACATACAAGCTGGGAAGCTCCCCCCTTGTGAGCACAGAGGCGGAAAGGGATCTTGGAGTCATTACTGACTCCAAGATGAACATGAGCCACCAATGCCAGACCGCAGCCAGCCAAGCCAGCCGCCATCCAAGATGCATCTCAAGCCGGTCCAGAGAGGTGATACTCCCCCTCTATGCGACTTTGGTCTGGCCTCAATTGGAGTACTGCATCCAGTTCTGGGCACCGCACTTTAAGAAGGATGTGGCCTGCCTTGAGAGGGTTCAGAGGAAGGCCACCTGCTTGGTTGGAAGGTAACAGGGCAGGCCCTATGAGGAGAGGCTGAGGGACCTGAACATGTTCAGCCTCAGCAAGCGGAGGCTGAGGGGGGATTTGGTGGCTGCCTACAAACTTGTTAGGGGAGATCAGCAGCAAATAGGAAGGGTCCTATTCCCCCCAGGAGCACCTGGGGTGACAAGAAACAATGGCCAGAAGCTGCTGGAGAATAGGTTCAGGTTAGAGATCAGGAGGCACTATTTCACTGTCAGGGTAGCTAGGATCTGGAACCAACTTCCTAGGGAAGTGTTCTTCACTCCTACCTTGGGTAAATTCAAAAAGAGGTTGGATGAACACCTGTCTGGGGTCGTGTGATCCCAGCATGTGCTCCAACCAGTGGTGGGGGGTTAGACTAGATGATCTATTCAGGTCCCTTCTGACCCCTAAGTGCTATGAAACTATTATGAACACACATCCCAATAAAGTTATGTTTGCTTTTGCTTCAATCTTGAACAGAAGAATACAGCCCTGGGCCCCCAGCTTATTAGTAAAGCCCCTAGTTTCTTTTTGACTGGAGAAAAATGTGCCACACTTCACCATCTGCACTTTACTGGAATGTGCATTACTTTGCTGCATCATTCATTATGCCTTAAACAATGCAAGAAGCTAGGCAAAAAGTAATAAAAAATGTGGTTGCATTAGTCCCATTGTCATTAGAATGAAATGGATGCCTTTCAGATTCATAAAACAAAATCTAGCCTTCTTGAGCATCCTGACAGTGCATCCAGTGCCTCACTGAAAGCTATTTCTGCACCTACCTTGACATTCACCCCAGTTCAGGTTTCCACACCAGAGTTCATGTTTCTAGCTAGAGTTAAAAACTGTCTGTAGGGCTGGGAACTAGGAGCTACATCAGCAAGAACCATGAATTGCAGAATTGCAGGGGAAAGGTCATCGGCGGCAACAGCAATCCCTTGATTCAAGGATGATCTCTACCATGGCTCATTGGTGGGTCTTGAAGTGACTTAAGTGGCCAATCCTTGAGTCACAGACCTGTACACAGAGGTTGCGGGTCTTTCCACAGAGGAGAATAGGCTGCAGGCTGGGATTCCTTTCCTTTTCCTTACTCCACACTTTTCTCTGCTTCGTGGGCAAGACATTTTACCTTGAAATGGGCTGCAGCTTGGTTGAGGTGGCAGCTGGTGCTTGAGGGTTGCTGAAGCCACGCTGGTCACCCTAGCTTTGGCGAGCATGGTGGCAGCTGGGGAGACAGGTGAGCTTGACCAGGGGAACACTGAGACCATGAGTGTGAGATACCACTGGGCAATTATTGCTTCTTGGCCTCTTGAAAGCTCAGATCAAGCATAGTCTCTGTTTACCTGGTAAGAGAAACACTGTGATCAGAAAGGTGGTTTTCTTAGCTGCACTGGGGAAGACCACTCTCCTGGCACAGGGATAGTACCTGCCAAGGTAATATATTGGACACCTCCCAATTAGCTGCTGAAATGGGAAGGTCTTGGCTTTAAGCCCACTTTATGGAAATGGGAGACTCCTCCCTGGCTTACCCCTGGGACCTTACGGCTGAGGGCAAGCAGAACTTGGGGGCATCTGAATCTCAAGACTCTGGGCTTGGGCCTGCAAGTAGGATGCCCACCAAAGGTTTTGGAAACATTTGAAGCCCCAGGTGGGGGTGGAGGATGTTTGCTGGTAGTAGGGCCACTTATGGTTCTGGACTAACTCTTGGATTTGGAATTTGGTTTGGCTAATTTGGCTTGGAATATGGAAAGTTTAAATAAATAATAAATAAATATATTGCTTCTCAGCCTTTTGACTCAGATCAGGTATGTCCATTGCTTCTTGGCCTTTTGGCTCAGATCAAGTGTAGTCCCTGTTCTGGCTTTGCAAGCAGGAGAAGTATGCCCCACTGGCTGACATCCTGAGAGGCTGCGGCTACGACGTGACAGTTGACATGCTCATCATGGGACCGCTCGGAGCCTGGGACCCCAGCAACAAGAGCGTCCTGCATGCCTGCATCTCCCGCTGCTATGCCAAGCTGATGCACTGCCTCATGGTGTCTGACACCATCTGCTGTTTCCCATGATGTTTACATTGAGCACATCATGGGCCACTGCCAGTACACCGACCCCGCCAGACTGACTGCCACCGGACCCCCAGAGGCAACTGCCTGAACCCCCCTCTGCACCTGATGGGCTCTGAGAGGAATCTTCGACAACGGACCACTCTGCTCCACCCAAAGAGGACCCCTGCCATAAGACCTCTATAGACTGAGAAACTTTCTTTAACCTACCCCCTCCACCATTGCGGACCATTGTACTGGGTTTGTGTGCATCTATCTTCTGCCACCGGACCCCCAGAGGCAACTGCCTGAACCCCCCTCTGCACCTGATGGGCTCTGAGAGGAATCTTCGACAACGGACCACTCTGCTCCACCCAAAGAGGACCCCTGCCATAAGACCTCTATAGACTGAGAAACTTTCTTTAACCTACCCCCTCCACCATTGCGGACCATTGTACTGGGTTTGTGTGCATCTATCTTCTTTCTCTCTCAATGTTGCGACCTCCCTCCCTCCCCTTCCCCTGCCCCCCGGGTTAGCTGGCTAACATTGTATTTCCTGTAACCTAGTTGCATTCCCCTCCTTGCCCCCATCCCTCTTACATTAGTCCCTTGCTTGGGCACTCTGAATTTCCCTTATGGCTTTGTCATCTTTTTGGTTCATGATTCTTACCATCTGCTAATAAAATTCAACCTGTTCTGGGCTGCACTGGTCTGTTCCCAGGGCCAAGATCACCTTGAATGGTGTTGTGTAGTAAAGGGGGGAGACCTGTCCAGTGCTCTGCAGACCGGGCTCCCCATGAGAGTCTAATATCATAGGCGTCGACTTCATGGGTGCTCTGGGACTCAAGCACCCACTGAAAAAAATTAGTGGGTGCTCAGCACCCATGAGCCACTGCCATTTTCTGCTTGCAGACATTAAAAAAGAAACCCCCAAAACCAGGTTTATCAGAGACAGCAGCAGGTTACTTCACCCCGGCTCTGCAGTGTGTGTAAAGATTGGGTGCTTCAGCAGGGCTTTTTGGCACTTTTCACTAAAGATGATTCAATGTCTACCATAGCTTCTCAGTAGGAGGATCTCAGCTACTTGCTTTATTTTTATGGAGATGGGGGATTTCTCCCTACCCTGCTCCTTTGACCTTTGGGCTAAGGGCAAGTGAGACTTGGAAGCATCTGAACTTCAAGGCCTGGACTTGGGGCCTGCCATGGATTTGGGAATATCTGAAGCTCCAGGCTGAAGAGTGGGACAGAGATTTGCCAGTGGTAGCTAGGGTTGCCAGGTCTGTTTGCACACCTGTCACAATGCACATGTGCCCGCGTGCTTGTGCATATCAGTTCTGGCTAAGCTACAGCGCGCAGACTTAACATCAGGAAGGCAAATGCACATTACTATTACATTTTAAAAACCCACTAGACTACAGTATAAAATCAAATTCAACATTTAATATTTATTTTAATGAATTTATTTAAATTTAATGCCCTATCATTATCTCCTGGGTGGCTCTCAGCAGTCTCCTGGAGATTTTTATCGAATTCCTGGCATCTCCAGTGCAGCCCTTGAGGGAACACCACATGGACTTGAACTCTTGCTCAGCTGACAGAATTTGAAACTGATTTGGCCCAAGACATGATTTTTTTTTTAATTTGTATCTGAGACCAAATTAGCCAAAACTAACTTCATATCCAAGAGTCCAGAACCATAAGTGGCCCTACAACCGGCAAACATCCTGCACCTGCACCTGGGGCTTCAGGTGTTTCCAAACCCTTTGGCGGGCATCCTACATGCAGGCCCAAGCCTGGAGGCTTGGGGTTCGGATACCCCCGAGTTTCGCTTGCCCTCAGTCGTAAGGCCCTCCTCGGAGCAAGCAAGGGAGGAGGCTTCCATTTCCATAAAGTGGCCTTAAAGCTGCCACAGCTCGGCGGGGACTGGACCATGCCAGAAGAGCAGTTCTCCCGGGGTGCGGTTCAGGAAAACTGTCTTCTTGGACACAGATACATGGTATTTCCCCTGCCAAGTTAAGAAGCTTTATTTGATCCTTCAAGAGGCCTGCGACATGAAATTAAAAAAAAAAAGTCGCAGAGCAGAGGAGATGGGCTTCACAGGAGACAAGGGCCTCAGGCTCCAGCAGCAGGGGCGCTGCGGGTGAAGATGGGGAGGAAGCGGCTGCGAGGGCGGCCGAGCACCGGGCCGGGCTGCCTAGAGACACCTCCGTCCCGAGGGCGGTCGGGCAGGGCAGCCCCCGGGGAGCGCGGCCCGGCGGGTGGGG